TCGCCCATGTTTATTTGTGATGGTGAAACATAATACCTTTACGCACGCGTTGTAGCATACACTCCATGTAATAATCAGTTAAGAGCAAATGTCCTCATTTGTGGGCAATGAGTTTGATATGATCTTTTTTTGGTAGTTGTATGACATTCTCTGCAGCTTCAGAATACTGGAAAACACATCCCTGCAAGTGTAAAATTTTACAATTTTTCGGGGGAGCATGCCCCGGACCCCGAAGGGAAGGGGGGGAGGGGGCAAGAACCTCTCCTGAAAAATAAAACATTGCCTTTTAGTCCTATTTGATATAGAGTGTTTTCACATGATGTCACGGCGGCCATATTGGTGTCCAGAAACAATGAGACGACGGCCATGTTTGTGTCCCAAACCAATCCTCTGGGAGTTGAAAGCTTTTCTTATGCAAACGCTTTCTTGTGTTTCAATAAATTTGCATAGATGCTGGCCACGTGAGTGAAAACACTCTATAGAAAGTGTCTTCAATTGAATGAGTGACATTTTTCACACGCCTAAGTTTTGCCATTTCTTATAAAACTTTCAAGCTTCGTTTTCTCTAAATAAAGTCAATTTCAGGTATTTCCTTTATTCATATATATGTGGCTTTTAGAAGGATAGAAATCTGGAATCCTACAAAATTTCCCATTTTTACCCAAGAGATCTCTTTACTACTACGGTTTGCCAACCCTTAAAATTTTTACCTTCCTTTGTAATTTTCCAGTTTTTTCTTTGAGTCCATTTCAACTTGCCGCAACCTGGAATAGAGCCATCGAAAAAAATAATATTTAAAAATGAAATTTTTCAGCTGTTTTTGTACACACTTACTGAAATTCGTAAGCAGCAGGTATGCAAAATGTATTTTGTTTTAGTATTAAACTCCCGCGAAGAACGTTGTGGAATAAGAGCCTCTTGGCAGAAATTTGCTACTTTAATACCCAAAAGTAAAAGAACCGGTTGAACCTTTTATGACTGTATATATAAAAAAACATACTTTACCCGACTGTAGATAAATTAGGTAATTAAAATTTTAAGTGCCATAATAATATAGTTGTGAATAAATTCTGTATTTTAAAGGACCAAAGCCAAGCTTATGCAATTTTTTTGGGACATTCAACATTAAAATTAAACTTAAGAACCGAATTAAGAACCTACTTAGCTAAGTGCTGGAAATTACTGTCGGAGATCGGACATTGTCCCATCAAAATGTCCGACTAATATTGCAATATGTTCGGACATAATGTCCGAGGACTTAAGAGCCCATGACTGTAAATATCGAGAATCGCTGGCCAGGCTAAAAAAATCGAAAATTCTGATAATTTGTCAGAAAAACCCCTTTGGGGAACTATCTTCGAAAAAAATATTTTCACCTTTCAAGAATCTTTAGTTTTCGAGAAAATGAGGAAAAACTAAAATAGCGGTTTTTACCTAATTAATTATGCAAAAATTAGAGTAAAAATGACCTACTTTATCGCGTCTGTACCGAGGCAAGATTCAAAGCTATAAAACAGAAATATTTTTGTTTAAAAGAATTCTATCTTTTCTTTCTATCCATGGTATGTTTTAAGTCAAAAACATTATTTGGAATTTTTTACGGTTTTTTAAAAACTAGCACTAAGCGCACTTTTTAAAACGGCTAAAAAATGAGCAACTTCAGAGGCAAAAAACTCACCTTGGTATGTGTGATACC